GCCGCGCACGGAGCGCTGCGGGACTGGGCTGGGAGCCGCGCACACGGAGCGCTGGGGGACTGGGCTGGGAGCCGCGCACACGGAGCGCTGCGGGACTGGGCTGGGAGCCTCGCTCGGAGCGCTGCGGGACTGGGCCGGGAGAGCCGCGCACGGAGCGCTGCGGGACTGGGCCGGGAGAGCCGCGCACGGAGCGCTGCGGGACTGGGCCGGGAGAGCCGCGCACGGAGCGCTGCGGGACTGGGCTGGGAGCCGCGCACACGGAGCGCTGCGGGACTGGGCTGGGAGCCTCGCTCGGAGCGCTGCGGGACTGGGCCGGGAGAGCCGCGCACGGAGCGCTGCGGGACTGGGCCGGGAGAGCCGCGCACGGAGCGCTGCGGGACTGGGCCGGGAGAGCCGCGCACGGAGCGCTGCGGGACTGGGCCGGGAGAGCCGCGCACACGGAGCGCTGCGGGACTGGGCTGGGAGAGCCGCGCACGGAGCGCTGCGGGACTGGGCCCGGAGAGCAGCGCACACGGAGCGCTGCGGGACTGGGCCGAGAGAGCCGCGCACACGGAGCGCTGCGGGACTGGGCCCGGAGAGCAGCGCACACGGAGCGCTGCGGGACTGGGCCGGGAGAGCAGCGCACACGGAGCGCTGCGGGAGTGGGCTGGGAGAGCCGCGCACACGGAGCGCTGCGGGACTGGGCTGGGAGAGCCCTGCACACGGAGCGCTGCGGGACACGCATCGCCGGTTCCGTGCGCAGGAGGGCAGCTGGTGTGTCCAGTCCTCTGAGACGCATCCCGGGACAGCAGCTTCTCTTCCCGGTGGCACTCAGATCGCGGCGGTACCTTGTTCCTTTTCAGCTCTTGGGAAGGGTTAGTTACATGATTGCCAGTCGCTGGAAGACGGCGGTTACCGGACTCTGCGTCAGTGTTTCCGATGGAAAGTGCCGCGGTGAGCTCGGGTGTCGTGGGTTCCTGTCCCTTCGTTAATGTCCTGCGAAGCCTCACTCTTCCTCAGAGAAGGGGCGTGTCCGCCCTTGGAGATGCGCTTAGGGCACGCTTGGTGGCCCTGAAGACAACAGATGGAATTAAATGACTTTTGCTATTACTACTTTGCTTTACTTTTTGGTCTCTTGTAGGTCTCTTATTTGCCAAAAATATAAAAAGTATATGTGACTAAAAGACCGTTTTCCTGTGAGAGATTTGGAGTGCTTTCACCAAGTCCCCGAGGTCCGAAAGCTCAGTGGAGGCCTGGGGGCCGGTTCACGTGAGGGGCAGGAGGAAGGGTTCCTGCCTTCACCCAGGGTCCGCTCCGCCACCTGTCCTATGGATGGGAAGGGCTATCCAAGCAGGAGGCTATGCAGCTTCATTTTATTTCGTTTTGAAGAACAAAAACAAGATGCAATGTCTGCACAGTCACAATGGCCTCTCTGACCAAGAAGATGGATCCATTTGGCCAAAAGAGGGCCAGAGTGTCCACAGGTATTTTCCGAACCAGCACTGAGCTCAGATGTCGCCTTGGCTGTTCCTGGTCACTTGGAGCCAACTAGCTGTCTGTGCCCAGCTCCCCTGTGTGGTGGTTGTTGGTCTTCCGGCTGCTCCTGACCCTTGTTTGTCCCTGGGTCTGTGCCTGATGGGGAAGAGCTTTGACTCTGAGCCCCCTGGGGCACCTTCCAGCCAGACTCCCGGGTGCCTGGGTGTGGGCAGTCTCGTCCCCAACCGCGTCTCCATACCAGATGTGGATCTTCAAAAAGGTGTCTGGTTTGAAATCCCCAAGGTGCTCGTTTTAGAGGGTGTTTGAAATCCTGCGTCCAAAAATGCTGGCGGCTCCGTTCCTCCCAACCCCCTCTTCCTGCGAGGGAGAGGGCCACATGCAGAGGGGCGAGTGAGGGGGGCGCTTCCCTGTCAGTCTGGCCTGGCAAGAGGGACAAAGCCAATGCAAGCAGGATAGCTGGTTACCCTTCTGGTATAACCCAGAGACAGAGTCCTCCCTCTGCTTCGCTCCTGCTCCCTTGCTCCGTGACCCACACTTGCCCGTCACCTCCATGGCCAAGTGGCCTTGAGCAGCCGCACGGCCCGTGGTCATGTGGACCCCACCTGCAATGGACTGCAGCGGGGCACACAGCTAAGCGGGCCCGCTCTGGCCTCGACGGCGCTATACCACGGAACGGGGACTGTGCACAGCGGCCTTCATCCTGGCCCTGTGAAAGACAGGATTGGATTTTTCCATGGAGAGAGGGAGGGAAATGGAACTTGGAAACCCAGGAGTTTACTTCTGTGGAAATAAAGATCACTCATCTTCCTGGGCCAGTATCAGGAGGGTCCTTTCCTCGTGACGTCGCAAGAATTCCACTTCCACCAGTAACGGGGACGCAGAGGGCACCCAGCAGCAGGACCACCAGCGCGGCTCACGGAGGCCAGCTCGTGCCTCCGGGGCCCTCCATCCCGCTATACTCCCTGCCCGCATGTGCGTGTTAACACGTGCACTTGAATCTCCAGCTGAGCACTGAGGGCGTCTCTAACCGAACCCTCGGAGAAGGCGCGTCTGGTAATGCTTTCTCCCCTCCACCAGACAGTTCCCCATCTCAGCGAAAGGCACCTTCCTCCTTCCAGCTGCTGGGGTCAGGAAAAACGGTGCCCTCCTGGGCCTTCCTCGTCCTCACACCTTGTGTCTGGTCCTTCAAGAAGCCCCGCTGTCCTCCTTTCTAAACAGATCGAGACCCTCCCTGCTTCTCTCTGCGCCCACCCCCACGCCGGTCCTGACTTCACAGGCTGACTCACTGCTTCCTTGCTGTCCGCTCGCGATTTTCAGGAGTAATCACCGAAGTCCTGGTGAGACGCAAGTCAGAGTGTGTCCCTGCTCTGCTCAGAAGCACTCAGCCACCCCACGCTCAGATGGGGAGCCCCGCCCATCACTGCTGCCTAAAGTTCATGCGTGTCGCGGGCTCCGTCTCCTCTCCGTCACCCTTCCTCTGCCTTCCTTCTCTGTATCATTCATCACCGGTAACATCCTCCATGTGTTGCTGTTCTGTCTGCTTTCCTTCCAGTCTCCCCATTCGAAGGTAAATGCTGAGGTCGGGGACTTGTTCTCCGCTGTGGCCTCGGAGCCCGGACCGCTGCCCGCACACAGTAGCCACACAAGAAGGTGATGGCGGGAACGGACCGGGATGAGCGGGACTGTCACGGCCACGCTGTGGGACCTGTGTGCTTCTTGACACTTGTCGAGTTGTGCTGTGACTTACCCCAGCGATGAATGACGGCCTCTGGGGTCAGACCGGAGAGGTCAACCCCGCTGCACCTCAGTTACTGTGTGACTTGCCAATGTCTCCACGCCTTGTTTGCCCAGTTGAGATGGACATCATAGGAGTGACCGACTGATAGGACTGTGGTAAGAATTGAATAGGAAAAGGAAGGTAAAATGTTCAAAATGCCCAAAGCAGAGGTTGTAAACTTTTAAGAGAGTTCCTATTTGGTTATTAAAATGAACCCGTTGTCTAACTTGATTTTAACTTCCGAGTAATTTTATAAGAGAAGACAAGCTCTTTGAGATTGGAAATTGTTAACTTCTGTTTCTTGGAACACTCTGACTGGCTCACGCTGGAATTTAATCAGAGACTCTTTGAGAGTCGGGACGTGTTTGGCGTCCGCCCAGGGTTTCATCCATCCCTCTGTGACAGAACACGCCAGAGTGAAAAACGTTGATTAGGTACCTGGCTCAGTGTAAAAACAGTAAAAATAAAAATAGCCCTCTGAAGGGAATTATCACAGTGCATTATAAAAATGGTTGCCAGGGTTTTTCCTAAAAATGATACTCACAAAATTCATGGTGGTCATTTGTCTTTGCAGCAGGCCGTCCACGTAGCACGTTCTGTTGTGTATGATCACTCGTGTCCCACTTTTCACTGGCAACGTAGCCGTGGATGGTAACAGCCCCCGTGTCCGGTGCTCACGTGGCTCAGCTGAGGTCCGAGCATTCACTAGTAGACACACCGGTAGCCCTGTGCTCACGAGGTGGTCCCAGTGGCCCAGGAGGGGGCGACACTGGAGGCCATCGGCTGGGACTTGACAGAACAGAGTCGATCAAGCGTTTCTGAGAGTTACGCTTAAATAGATGTCACTGTGTGAATTTATCGCAGATGGGAGACCTGGGTTTTGTTACATTTTGGTGAGAGGCATCCACTCTAAGATGAATCTCTTTCGTTCAGATCACCTATGAATTGATTAACCTTTGTATTGACAGAGCAAATTTAGTTATTTAGTTCCTTTGACTGCTAACCTACACAGCTGTATTTCTACATTCTAGGTTAGTAATTAAAAATAAACCTTTGTACAAACACCTGAGTTCTGGTAGGGAGTAGTCAGTAGTACTGTGGTGACTATGGATGCTGCTAGACCTATTGTGGTGATCACTTCATAAGCTACATAAATGCGCAATCACTATGTTGTACACCTGACACAAATGTAATATTGTATGTCAACTGTAAGAGAAACTTTTTAAAATTATATAAACAATATAAGCAGGACAGACACCTACACAAAGCTGGAGTTCTGGTTGCAGCTCTGTGTGGACAAAGGCTTGCGGTTCTGGAGGAGACAGCTCCCCTGCAGACCACGTGTACCCTCCCACGCGGGGGCTCGCGTGGCCCTCTCTCCCCGCCAAGGCACTGTCAGAACTGTCCCTGTGACTGTGGTAAAAGTGACACATTGTACGTCGCATGCTTTACAATTGGCGGGACATTTCTACAACAGGGACAACGGTGGTCTCGTCACCCTGTCTTCCTTATTTGTCCCTTCCCATTCCTGGGTTTCCGTGACATCTGACCTCCTCCTTCCCGCCCCACCCCCTTTCTGAAATAGCTGTTGGGTTTTGTAGGTAGGAAATCCAAGAATAAAATCGTACCGATAGTTGCAGTCAAGATGTCCCCTATTTCTCTGGGGTAGAATGTTGACGACACCACGCGCCTGTCTGGGCTCTGGGCTGGATGTTCCTCACCCCGCTCCTGTCTTCTCACCGCACAGGGAACGACTTGTTTCTCGTGGCGGTTCACGAGCTGGGCCACGCGCTGGGCTTGGAGCACTCCAACGACCCCACCGCCATCATGGCCCCGTTCTACCAGTACATGGAGACCGACAACTTCCAGCTGCCCGGCGACGACCTGCAGGGCATCCAGAAGATCTACGGTAGGCGCTGCTGCGCGCCCTTGGCGTGCTCGCGGATGGATTTCAGGGGGAGACACCGCGTGCGGCCCGCTCACTCCTGCACTCGCTGCTTGTATGTCCGGGCAGGGATCGAACCTGCAACCTTGGTGTGTCGGGATGACACTCTAAGCAACTGAGCTACCTGGCCAGGCCTCTTTCACTTTTTAAGAAATTAATTTATGTCAGTTACATTTGAAATATAAAAATCGGTTGTATTTTTTAAACCGCTGCTTCTGTTTGATTAGCCCCAGAGAGGGTCCAGAATTTCCACTGTGCTTGCTTCTCGGAAATAAATGCTCTAGTGTACTTGAGAGAAACATTAGGGGAATTAGGGTCGGTGTTCAACCGTCCAGTCCTGTTGGCAGTAGTCCAAGATCCCCGAATCTATAGATTGTGGGAAATTCTTTTTTTTTTATCCTCACCCGAGGACATTTTTCCATCTTTTTTTTTGTACAGACAGAGTGGGAAGGAGAGAGAGGAACAGAGAGAGAGAGAGAAACATCGATGTGAAAGGAACACATCGAGTGGCTGCCACCGCACAACCGACCAGGGCCGGGGACAAACTGCAACAGAGGTACGTGCCCTTAGCGGGAACCGAACCCGGGTCTCTCAGGACCACAGGCCGACGCTCTAACCGCTGAGCAAAACCGGCCAGGGCAGATTGTGGGAAATTCTTAAACATGGAGAAGATTTTCTAACTGAGTTTAGTTGAAACATGTAGTCATAGTAAAGCTTGGATAAACTTTAGTGTTTAAATTCAGGTAAAAATATGTAGTAAGTGAATATAACCAATAAAAATAGTGAGAGATGTAAGATTTTCTTATAAGATATGGAGATGTTGGTACAAACTCACAGGTTACCTCTCAGGGTAGTTGTTGTTAGATATTTCTTAGACTTTTGGAGTTGCAGAGAAGACCCTTGTGTGATAGATCTGAAACTACCTCAGAAGCATGTAATTACTAAGAGCAACAGTTAACCAATGGCTGTGTTGACCAACATGTAATTCAAGGTAGATTTCTAGTACAGTAAAATTGTTTTTATTTATGGGGTTCAGTCAGTGAATGCAAATTAAGACGGAAGGAGAAAGACTATTATACACATCGACTATAATCCTCACTCCCTCAGGAGAACCATTGACCTTAAGAAGGACATTTATTTCCCACATAGTTGTTAAGTCCTTGACATTTATCACTTGCAGACAGAGAATAAACTTAACGTAATTGATGACGTGCGCTTTCGCTTTTATAGTACCTGCTACGCGGACGCTAATATCCAGGGCCCAGAAGGTGTCGTTTGCATTTTTTAATAGCGTAGTTTAAGTTCGCTTATTTGTTGTGCATTGGTTAGTTTTTCCATTTCAATATCTCGGTGGTGAGCAGCCTCACAGGGTTCAAACAGATTGGGGAAGAGCAGGTCCACCGCGTGGCGCTGCTGATTCGGTGGGGACGTGGCCGGGGCGGGTCTGGGCCCCAGGGCAGCAGTGAGATTCTGCTGGGGGACCAGGGTGACTGACAGGTGGTCCTCGGGGCCGAGTCAGGGATCTGGACAGAAGATCTGCGAAGGAATGGTCTTTGCATCTCTGAACGTTAGTGCAAACAGCTCCGTGTTTCTTTGTAAAAGCACAACCCCTCGAGAAGTGATGCTTTACACCTGTGCGATGACGCGTGTAGACATGAGCTTGATCCCGAACCCTCATAAAACAGAATTGGAGACACAGGGTCAGTTCATTCATGTGTATCTTTTAGAAACATTTGCATGGACTCACTGTCCCTCAGAATCTAGGGTTCCTTGGGCGGTGCTCACAGGTGTGGTTCCAGCGTTCATTTTCATTTATTTATTATTTATGCACCACCTACTTCCAAAAGGGATCCGAGAGCAGCTTTTCCAGTGAGGACTGTGGGGAGGCTACACAAACCGTCATTAAAAATTAACAAAGAAAGTCTGGTGGCTGCGGTCCCGATGGTTTCTGATAGACTGGGCCGTGGTGTGTTGGGTCAAACAGTTTGTTTTTCAGAAAATGCAGGATCTCGGAGAACGGTCCGTGCGCCCCGCTGACGGGGGCTTGTGCTCTGTAGCACATCTTCCAGACCCGCTCCAGCTCCAAGTGAGCCAAGTGCTGTCCTCATGTTCCCCAAGGTCCGCCAGACAGGACCCCTCCACCGACCCGACCTCTGCCCACGGTGCCCCCACACCGCTCCGTGCCCCCGGCGGACCCCCGCAGGAACGACAGGCCCAAGCCGCCCCGGCCGCCCACCGGCAGACCCTCCTACCCCGGCACCAAGCCCAGCATCTGCGAGGGCAACTTCAACACACTGGCCGTCCTCCGCCGGGAGATGTTTGTGTTCAAGGTAGGAGCCGGGTTCTTTGCTTCAAGGGCGGATCAGGGTCCACGGGTTGCTTTAGAAAATCTGTTCTCGTTGGTTCTAACGCTGCCGCCCCAGATCTCTCAGGGTCAGAGGGTTCAAACAAGCATCTTAAACAGCACATGCACCAAGGGCTGGAGTGTCCAGCAGGAGGCGCTGCACCATCCTGTTTGCAAAAGACCCTGGTGCCAGCAGGTGCCGACACACCTGGAAATGTGAGGGTTGGGAAATGCCACCTGCTAGAAAAGATAAACAAGCCCGAGGTAACCATGACGAGGACCTGACAGGGACCAGCTCCATGTGGGGCAGCCTCTCCCAGGGGCCCTCTGGATGACATCCCCGTCGTCTTTCCTGTGGGCAAGAGGGCGTCTTGTTTGGGGTCTCCTGGTGGCCGTTAAGTTAATGTCCTGTATGAGATTGTCATTTTCATTTTACACACACGCACTTCTGTGTCCTTCAGTCGGGCATCTTTATCTACTCAATTCTTACTGTTTTTTAGAAGGTTACAAGCTACAATGTGGACTTTACATTTTGGTAAATGTGCTTTTCCATGCCGTCGGGGGCCAGGACAATAGCACTAATAAACTATGTGTCAAAGTCAGTCACATCCTATTGACAAGTGAATATGGAATAAGAGAAGTCATTTCCTCCCTTCGTATTTGTAAACTGACTTAAAGATTAATGAAAACTATGTGTTATGCTGGCATTAGAGTGTTAGAAGAGCCACCTTTTAACCAATAGCATCCATTTAAAAATAAAATAATGTGCCCTCTTTTTGGTGGACACAAACTAATGTTAACAAAATAATGATACAGAATTGCCTGTCTGCCGGAGGCTACACTATGCAAATACAGATTTTGTGTAATTTTTTTAGACGAAGCCCTCTCCTTCCTTTGTGGGTGATGAGGCGGATTTGCCGGGACACGCACAGGAGGGTCACACTGTCCAGGAAGACAGTGCTCCTGCCGACACGGCCCGGAGCTGGGAGTCTGAACGCACCCTGCTCAGTCAGCTCCCTTCAGCTTCCGCAGAGTAATAGACGAAGAAGCAACGCGTCACATACAAAAGCTTATAAGATATTTTTTGTGTATTCTACAAGTTGCCAGATGACAAATGAAAGATTTTGTTTTCACTGTTTTGGCTGAATTTCAGCTCCCGTCTCTGTCCCTCGCTGCCCCAGCGATGCGGCCAGCGCGCCCCCTGATCGACACCATGTCCTGGCAGGGAGGGGGCCACGGTCTTTCCATTGAGTCCCTGTCTGTCTGACGAGACTCGAGGTCTCAGAGGGACCGTGTCTTCATGTCTAAGATCATGTCCACCAGCTTCTCCTCTGCACCTTGTGACTGCAGGAGAGGCGCTGCGCCCCTGGGGTCAGGAAGGGACGGAGAGGACCTAGACGCCCTCTCCAGGGGGTGCAGGGCCACCGTTTTCAGTAGCAAGGCAGGCGTGTACCAGTCATTCATTGTTTAATGCTCTAAAGTCTTCCATTAGCTTGGACATCTTCTTCCAAACTCTCTACAGGAAAGAGCTAAACTCTCTCAGAATTTACTTTCTTTTCCCCACTGGTCCCTGCTTTCTTACTAAGAATAATTTCTGCTAAAGATGCCCTGGTAGGCGTTCCTTTCTTTTCATCTTCACTTGCCGATGGATCCGTGTCATGTGTTTCATGTGTGTGCTTGTCTCCCCTGTCACAGAAGGAGGTGGTGTGTGCAGGGGTCACTAGGCACACAGTCTCGGATGTGTGGCAGGACGTGGCCCCCTGTCTGGAGCTCAGGCTGTAGGAATGAAGACAAACATGAACCTACATTTTTGTAAGATCAGGAGTAACAGGTACAGCGTCGACTTGAAGAGAAACAACTGAAGTCTGGTTGAAAAGATCAAGAAAACAATGAGAAAAGCCGTGTGCTGGATTTCAACAGAGCAGATTCCTAGGCACATTAAGTAAATTGGTACTTGGTACAGTAAGAGTTAGCGTATCGAGGGAGAAAAGATAGACGTGTTAATTGCAGTACCAAGAGGAAAGATATAACTCAGAAACATGTAAGATTTGATCTGAGTGAAGAGAGCATGACACCTGCTGTTAGTGCACAGGTACCTGGACTCCGGGTAAGCGATGCGTGCCAGGGCGGACGCTGGGCACTTGATGTCCGCAATCTCCAAACCTTATAGGAGAACTGCAAGCTGGATGCTGGTGTCTGTTTACAATGAGACAACTGAGAATCAGAACACGTAAGTCATCCATCCAAGTGACAAGCTTTGTTCACAGTAGAACACAGGTCTACTGGACCCCAAACGCTGTGCTTTTGGCACTCAAGTTCACCGCCTGGAAGCCTTAGGGGCACTTTCCAAGGCAAGATGAACGCCAGAGCCTATTTTGAAGTAGTAAGTATTCGGGACTGTGTATTGAGCCCCCCTGGCGTTGCTGCTTTAGGCCCTGGCTCCTGGCGCTAACATTCCGGTTTCTGGTGCGGACAGGTCACAGAAGGGTGGGACAGCTGCCCATGTCCGAGCCCCATTCTGTTTCCTTGGTCCACAACTCCTGGTCTGACGGCTCCCGGGCCTGCTGGGCTGGTAGCCTTCCCCTCTAGTGAACGTCACTCCCCAGCCTGGCCTTCCCGCCGACCCGTGTCGTCTGTGCTCACCGCCTTTTCTCTCGGGCCCGCAGACGCAGCCTTCGTTCTCCTCGTCTGCGCCTCAGCATGTTTTAGGGTCACCCCCTATTTGATGTCACTTACTAACATAGCTTGATTTTCTACTTGTCTTCACTATAAATTCACAACACAAATTAGAAACCTCGTTATTTCCTCAAGCCGGACCCTCCCAGCGCTCACCGCACGGCAGTTTGATGTCTCTCCGGCTCACAGCCCTCGGTTTGTCCTCGACATCCCCTCCCTCCAGGCCCTTCCACACGTCCCAACCTTTCCCATGATTCTCAACCCAAACCTTCCTCAAGGTTTTCACGTTTGTTCTCTGCTCCGTCAGATGTTCGTAACTTCTGTCTTCTCTGCGTATTTCTCACCGTGGAGAAATCTCTCACTCTGTCGACGGGAGCGTACATGTCCTCAGAGAAGGGCTGGTTCCCTGGGCGCCGCCAGGCTGGGGCCGGTGAAGGGCAGCTCAAGGTCATCCTTTGATTAAACTATAGGCAGTCCCCTGCCGGTGCAGTGCTAACCAGCTGACATGCCCTGACTGAAATATCCCTTCTGCTAGTGAGTTACTTCTTGCCCAAAGATTTTCATGACTGTGATCTACTTAAAACTCTCTATATTAAGTTAGGAGCTAATATCATAGGCAATACTGTTTTCTTATTAGAAAGGAATCTTTCTTTATAACAGGAGTTTCGCCATAATTATTCTTGGAAGCAGGCTTTCTTGTAGGGGACTGATGACACGGACAGTCCCAGGCACTCACGGGGTCAAGTGCGGCGTGAGTGCGCCGGCTGTAGTTTCTGTGTGGGACTAGGAACAGAGACTCCAGCGTAATCTTGTATTAATATTATTCTGTCCACACACGCAATGAAGTTGTTTTCTCTTTCACTTTCCTCTTCTTTTTAATGTTTTATTTATTGGATTTTAGAGAGAGGAAGGGAGAGAGATCTGTTGTTCCACTTCTTCACGCATTCGTTGGTTGTTCCCTGTCTGTGCCCTGACCCGGGGTCAAACCTGCAACCTTGGTGTCTCGGGACAACACTCAACCAACAGACCACTCGGCCAGGGCTGGCTTTCCTCTTCTTTAAAGCAATGAGTGATACGTGTTCGCACTAAATACTTGGTTTGTTTCTTTTTTTTTTTTTTTAAACCCTGTTGATTACATACTTTTCTATTGAAGTAAACTCTTGCTGACTTGCTGGGTTATGAAGAATCAGCCCTAAGGACGTCTGGCCTGGCTTTGCTTTGTGGAGCAACCAGGTCACACCCGAGCGTCTTTCGTGTGGTTGAGGCTGGCTCCCCAGTAAAGTCAGTCCTGTGACTGAGTTTGGGGGGCCCTGGTTATGCGTGGTCAGGTGGCGTAGGTACGAAATCTCACCCGCCATGTGGGCAGTCAGTCAATCAGACATCTCTGCGAAATGCAGCCCTGACACAGACTCTGGACGTGGAGGCTTGGGGGTGATGCCTGGTCGGCAGTGCCCGCGGGGTCGTCACCTACCGGTCCCGGGGTGCCTGAGCCCCAGGGCAGGGCGCCTCAGAGGTCACTCCGTGACTCCCTTGTGGAGGCGGGATCTGCAGCCTCTCCTTGTAAGAAGCCATGATCCTACATGTACTCTTTTTGTTGTATTTTGGGGTCTTTCAACACCTGGAATGGTGTTGGGAACCCCAACTGGCATTGGAGAAGTGAGGTCATTGTGGGGTCTTCCCCTAATTCTGCAGCTGGACATCCTCAGGGCTGGCGAGGGGCGTCCTGGAGTTTTGGCAATCTGGAGGACTGTGCCCTTAACTCCATAGTTTGGCTCGTTGTAGGATTTGACAGTATCCAAATTCCCAAAATTTCTTAAGACTGGTGAGACCTCCACATTCTTTAGTTGAAATTTATGTTGTTGTTGTTTTTTTTTTCCTTTATTGATTTTAGAGAGAGAGGAAGGGAGAGGGAGAGAGAGATAGAAACATTGATGAGAGAGACCATCGACTGACCATCTCCTGCACACCCCCACTGGGGATCGGACCCACAACCTGGGCATGTGCCCCGACCAGGAATTGAACCAGCGACCTCTTGGTGTAGGGTTGATGCTCAACCACTGAGCTACACTGGCCGGGTTAAAATTATGTTTTGAAAAATTAAATAGCTTATAATATATCATCATAATGCTTCCTTGAATTAGAACATAGCTTCATAACCCTCAACAAACTGATTTACAGATGTCCTTACGATTGATCCTCACCTTCTGATCCGAAGGGCGGGAGGTCCCATGGCCCCGGTAGCAGTCTTCCTGTTCCCATAGTTTGAAGAGAAGACTTGAATAGCATGAATCCTACATAGAAATGATCCTT